CTAATCAGTGAATTTGGTAAAGTAGTAGGATACAAAATTATACACAGAAATCTCTTGCACTCCTATACACTAATGATGAAAAATCTGAAAGAGAAATTAAGGAAACACTCCCATTTACCACTGCAACAAAAAGAATAAAATACCTAGGAATAAACCTACCTAAAAAGACAAAAGGCCTTTATGCAGAAAACTACAAGACAGTGATGAAAGAAATTAACGATGATACAAACAGATGGAGAGATATACCATGTTCTTGGACTGGATGAATCAACATTGTGAAAATGACTATACTGCCCAAAGCAATCTACAGATTCAATGCAACCCCTATCAAACTACCAATGGCATTTTTCACAGAACTAGAACAAAAATTTCACAATTTGTATGGAAACACAAAAGACCCCGAATAGCCAAAGCAATCTTGAGAAAGAAAAACGGAGCTGGAGGAATAAGGATCTCAGACATCAGACTATACTACAAAGCTACAGTAATCAAGACAGTATGATGCTGGCACAAAAACAGAAATATAGATCAATGGAACAGGATAGAAATTCCAGAGATAAACCCACACACATATGGTCACCCTATCTTTGATAAAGGAGGCAAGAATATACAATAGAGAAAAGACAGCCTCTTCAATAAGTGGTGCTGGGAAAACTGGACAGGTACATGTAAAAGAATGAAATTAGAACACTCCCTAACACTATGCATAAAAATAAACTCAAAATGGATTAAAGACCTAAATATAAGACAAGACACTATAAAACTCTTAGAGGAAAACATAAGCAGAACACTCTATAATAAATAAATAAATCACAGCAAGATCCTTTTAGCCCCACCTCCTAGAGAAATGGAAATAAAAACAAAAATAAACAAATGGGACCTAATGAAACTTAAAAGATTTTGCACAGCAAAGGAAACAATAAACAAGATGAAAAGACAACCCTCAGAATGGGAAAAAATATTTGCAAATGAAGCAACTGACAAAGGATTTATTTCCAAAATATACAAGCAGCTCATGCAGCTCACTATCAAAAAAACAAACAAACAATCTAAAAATGGGCAGAAGACCTAAATAGACATTTCTCCAAAGAAGATATACAGATTGCCAACAAACACATGAAAGGATGCTCAACATCACTAATCATTAGAGACATGCAAATCAAAACTACGATGAGGTATCACCTCACACCAGTCAGAATGGCCATCATCAAAAAATCTACAAACAATAAAATTCTGGAGAGGGTGTGGAGAAAAGGGAACCCTCTTGCACTGTTGGTGGGAATGTAAATTGATATAGCCAATATGGAGAACAGTATGGAGGTTCCTTAAAAAACTAAAAATAGAATTACCATATGACCCAGCAATCCCACTACTGGGCATACACCCAGAGAAAACCATAATTCAAAAAGAGTCATGTACCACAATGTTCACTGCAGTTCTATTTACCATAGCCAAGACATGGAAGCAATCTAAGTGTCCATAAACAGATGAATGGATGAAGAAGATGTGGCACATATATACGATGGAATATTACTCATCCATAAAAAGAAAGCAAATTGAGTTATTTGTAGTGAGGTGGATGGACCTAGAGTCTGTCATACAGAGTGAAGTAAGCCAGAAAGAGAAAAACAAATACCATATCCTAACACATATATATGGAATCTAAAAAAAAAAAAGTTTCTGAAGAACCTATGGGGAGGACAGGAATAAAGATGCAGTTGTAGAGAATGGACTTGAGGACATGGGGAGGGGGAAGGGTAAGCTGGGATGAAGTGAGCGAGTGGCATGGACATATATACATTACCAAATGTAAAATAGATAGCTAGTGGGAAGCAGTCACATAGCACAGGGAGATCAGCTCGGTGCTTTGTGTCCAGCTAGACGGGTGGGATAAGGAGGGTGGGAGGGAGATGCAAGAGGGAGGGGATATGGGGATATACGTATATGTATAGCTGATTCACTTTGTTATACAGCAGAAACTAACACACCATTGTAAAGCAATTATACTCCAATAAAGAAGTTAAAAAAAATACACAACAACAAAATCTCAGCAGCCACAAGAACTCCTCTCTGCCGGGCAAGTACTAGTTATTTTATACACAGTCTAGGTCAGGAACTTCAACCACAGATGCCCACTGGGGGGCCATGCTCTTCCGAAAAGCAGGCGAGAGGGCATGGTGGAGACTCGAGCCCCCAGACCTCCTCAGCTTCCGGCAGTGGTGGGGATCCAGTGATCTGTGCTAATGGGCTTCCAATTTCTCAAGGGCAGCCATAAACATATTAATAGTACAAAAGCAAACACTGTGAGGACAGAATGAAACACGCTGGAGGTTCAGATTTAGTCCATGGCAGTTTGTGACCTTTGGTTTGCACTGCGACTCCTCAGGGGCAGCGACCCTGGCCATCTGGTTCACTGGTGTGTACCTTGTAGCTCTCAGAATATACTGTTGAATTGAATTCTTACCAACAAACTTGTAGGACAGGTGTTGTTATATCCATCTTACAGGAACACCACAGAGCTCACCAATGTCAGAGTTGGGATTTGAAGCTTGGTCCATGTGCTCCTAAGCCCTGTGCCTTCCAATAGAGCATCGTGGTGGCAAACCCCCATCCTGGGAACTGCTCTCAGGCTAAGGCAATGAATACAAGGCTTTGGTCCAACCACAGAAAAAATTGCAAAGAACTTAAACCTACTTTTCTGTTTTCTACTTTCCCACAAATCTGTGGCTTCTGGAGCCAGGGACCAGCAGAGGAGAGAGATATACAGCGGATTGAGAACACCCAAGAATGCTTGTCTGTGGGTCCTTCAAGCTCCCTCTTTCTGTCCATCCCTCCCTCCCTCCTTTCCTTTCCTGTGCCCCATAGTATGAACTTGGTCCCTAACTGTGATCACAGTGAGATGAATTTAGTACAGAGAAGTCATATGGACAGAATCATACACAGAACAGAGACATCAGAAATACGGCCAGTTTAATGCAACATTGTAAATCAACTACACTTTAATTTAAAATAAATTTTTTTTTTTAAATTAAGAGGTAAGTCCTGGAGCAACTGAATTACATAAACCTCCGCCAGGATAACCCTGGCTGAACTAGTAATCCACACTCCAAGATGTTAGCTCTGAGAAGCGACTCAATGTGAAGGAAGAAAAATATTTTAGAGCCAGTAAAACCTTCATTATGAAGATTAGGTAACAACATAAAAAAATAACTATGGGGCTTCCCTGGTGGCGCAGTGGTTAAGAATCCGCCTGCCAATGCAGGGGACACAGGTTTGAGCCCTGGTCTGGGATGATCCCACATGCCGCAGAGCAACTAAGCCCGTGAGCCACAACTACTGAGCCTGCGCTCTAGAGCCCGTGAGCCACAACTACTGAGCCTGCGTGCTGCAACTACTGAAGCCCACGTGCTTAGAGCCCATGCTCCGCAACAAGAGATGCCACCGCAACGAGAAGCCCACGCGCCACAACGAGGAGTAGCCCCTGATCGCCACAACTAGAGAAGCCCCGTGCACAGCAACAAAGACCCAACGCAGCCAAAAATAAATTTAAAAAAGATTGTTTTAAAAAATTAAAAATTAAAAAATGACTATAAAAAGTTGAATTAAAGAAGCAGACAATAAAATGCAGCCTACTTAATATTGATAATTACAATTATGTTTATTCAACATATGCATATTAAGGACCTAACTTCTCGTTGAGTTGACAAGGTTGGTGCAGGAAGAGCTTAACCATCACCCTCACTTAAGGCTCTCAGACTGGAACCTTAGTTTCATGAGATTTCCTGGGGAAAATGGAAAAGAGTGCACAGGGGCTGATGGCTGGGCTCCTGGCCACCCCAGGATTAAGCCCCTGTAATAAGGGCTGTCTCCAGCCTCCAGGGGAGGGCCCCCAGGGGCACTGATTTTATTCTGAGGGACCACTCTGCCTCAGCCCGAGTCGCTTGGAATGGTCCCTTGGAATGGTCAGCAAATAGAAGTCACCGCAAGATCTCATGCATCCTCTGGCACGAAATATAACATAAACTCTGACAAAGCCAATATCTACAGCTCCACCCGATCTCTCACCTGGATCCCCCACTTGAATATCATCCCACAGCCTACTTGAGACCTCCGCCTGCTCGTCTAATCGGCACCCCAAACTTAAAATGTGCCCAACAGCACTGCTTCCTTTCCTGCCCCCCAGGCCTGCTCCTCACATTGTCTGCCCATCTTGGCCCCATCCTTTATTTCTCTGCTTTTCATATCCCACATCCAGCCTCACAGCCAGTCTGTTGGCTCTATGGTCAAAATATACCCAGAATCTGACCACTTCCCGTCACACCCAACAGTAATAGGTACACCTGTCCGCCATCATATTTCACCAGGATTACTGCAGCAATAGCCCAGCTAAATCTCCCTACTTCTTCCCTTGTCTCTTCTGGTCTGTTCTTAACAAAGCTACCTGAGTGATCCAATTAAAACTATTGTCAGACTCCTCTCTCCTTAAAACTCTCCGCTGGCTGTTCTATGTCATCCAGAGTACAAGCTCGAAGCCAACCCACCTGCAATGCTCTATGCTCTCCAACCCCTCCTAACCTCCAGCCATTTGACCTCAGGTCTGCTCTTTCCCTCACTCTCTCCACGCAAGCCACACCAGATGGTGATGGCCTTTATTGCCATCGGCCATACTCTATATTCACCCGTCTATCTGTTATATGGTGTATGTCCTCCCAACAGAGTAGAGGCCCCCAGAAGGCAGAGATAGTGTTCTGGTTCCTGCTGTATCCCCAGCACCTGGAATAGTACCTGGAACATAGTAGGTGCTCAATAAATATTAGTTGACTGAACAAATGAATGAATGAATGAATGAAAGGATAGAGATGATTTTTTGTCATGAATATACTTATAGATTCAAAACATACAATATATATATCACTATAAATTGGAGAGAGGTACAAGTGAATTCTATCTCTACCAGTCTCTTTTAACTAGAAAGATTGGTACTGGAGAGAGTTACTCACTGGTGGCCCTGGAGATCCTCTGGCACCAGGAAGGCCTGGGTAACCTTTTTCTCCAAGTCGCCCAGGGAGTCCCAAGTCTCCTTTACTCCCTTGCCTCCCAGGAAGTCCTGGAGGGCCGGGTGGGCCTGAGGGACCAGGCTGGCAGGCACAGAGCCCTGTGCTTCCTAGACAGAGGATAAAAGGCAGCTTTGTCAAATTTCCTGAACGAAATCCCAATAAAGTCTTTACTATACAAAACCAATAGTGCGAATAAGAACAAAAAGGGTCTGATGTGCACAATTCTTATCACAGATAACTGATAACATGTGATGTGGAGAGCACAGGGCATGACCTGGAGGTAGCTATGGTCTATGTGGGTGGACATATCATTTCCAGACAAATGGGGTGTTCTGTCTTAATAAACGCAAACTGACAAAATCTAGGGGAAAAGCCGATGTCTGATTCTATGGAAGAAACTTTGAAAATAAGAAAGTTTCGTATTTTTAAAAGTTTAGAAGTCTCTTATTTGGTTCCTACTAAAAAAAACAAAGTCTCTTAATTTGGTTCCTGATGAAACAACAACAACAACAACAAAATTGGTTAGAGCATAAACTCTGGGCATTTAAAGAATCCAAATAATATGTTAAGAGGGATTATTGATTGTATTGCATGTTACAGCTAATAATTCCCTATAGTGCGTTTTCTAATCATCAGGACCTTTAGTTTAAAAAAATGCCTTTAGGACAGTCAAACTCCTCAGCTCTCATACCCACCTGACTCCGTTGGTCAAAAAGGCACCAAACAATTTAAGGTGTAGAAACATAGAGCTATAGGTATTTGGTGAGTCTGGGAAAGATGGGACCCACAGAGAGAAACCAAAATTAAAGATCAATACTGTCCTATCTCTGCTTTTTTCAAGGAATTGAGAGGATCCTGTGGAAAAAGTCATCACTTTGAGGCAAATTTCATGGCAGGTAAGTGTCTCCTTTATGCTGTAAGATATAGATTTGACTTTTCGGTAAGTTCTAATCACATCACAAGCACACAGTGAGTTAAGTACTCACAGGGGTAACTAAGGTGAGTGGAGAATCTAAATGAAATCCACATTGTACATTTCATAATGCCTCCCAATCCTCCATATGTTGTTTTCTAGAAATTCTACTTTGATGCATACTTGCCTTTTTCTCCTTTTGAGCCTCTTCTTCCTGGTGGACCCACTTTGCCTTTTATTCCTTGTGGCCCAGGAGGCCCAGCACTACAATATACAACTTTCCAGCGGGAAAGGGGGCGGGCAGAGAGAATCACACAATTTTTGTGAACATCTGATATAGAACATCTGATATAGATCTGATATAGAACAAGTAGAGCTTGGTGTGTTCTCATTCACACCATCCCCTCAACACCATTCTTTCTTCCATTCCTTTCTTATGATTCTTTCTCTCTGCTATAAGAATATGTATACAAATAGACCATACAATTGTCACAGCAAGCTTCTGCTACCATAACCATTGATAACACTATCCCTAATCTCAGCCCTAATTTAATGGGTTGCAAAGCAAAGTAGTAGATAATAAAACAAACAAATATACCAAAACAAAACAAAAAAACAAAAAACTAAAAGTAAGTATATGGCAAATATATTTTGCCCCTTAATTATCAATAATTACCTAATAAAGAAAGCAGAAAGCAGGGTTTGTAAAAGCAAAAATTCAGAGACATCTGATTAAAAATGTTAGATAAAATGCAAACAGTAAGTTCCTTGTCTCCCCAAATACCAGTAAGATAACAGACAGTAAAAGAATATTATAAAAAGGTATAATCTTTCAAGACAAAGAAAAAGAGAAACAAAAGCAAAAAAAAAAAAAAAAAAGTAAAAAGATTTAGCAGACCTTAAAAAGCTGAAATCCAAGCAGGCTGTGGGGAAAGCGGAAACAGAACACAGTTTACCTAGGAAATCTCTTCCAAAGTTCAAGAATTGGTACCTCTGAAGTAGAATGACAGTGAGACCCCAAACAGGATGATTGGTCAAAGAAGCAGCTAAATAGTAGCAGCGAAAACTGCAGCAGCAAAAACTGCAGCAGGAAAAAACAAACGCCCTCAAAACTGGAGGAAACAGACAATGAAGTAAGAAGGAATCTTTAAAATAAACTATATAGTTTAGAAAGCAGACAAGGGAAGGCATTTCATTCCCAAAACAGAAACAGGCTGCTGCAAAAAGAAACATTAAAAGGGAAAAACAACAGAGAGAGAGAGAGAGAGAGAGAGAGAGAGAGAGAACAACAACAACAAAATCCTCAGAAATTAAAAAAAAATGGTTATGAAAGCAGAAATTTAAAAATTCAGGAGCAGACTTGGAAGATGGAGTTGAGGAAGTCTACCAGAAAGTGTTGCAGAAAAATAAAAAGGTGAAGAATAATAGAGTGGAGATTTGAAAAACAGACATGTAGGATTGATTCTCTAACAGACAAATATATTGAGTCCAGAAATAGAAAACAGAGGGGAAAAAAAGAAGGACAAAGTATCTTCAAAGAAATACTTCAAGGGCTTCCTTGGTGGCACAGTGGTTAAGAATCTGCCTGCCAATGCAGGGGACACGGGTTCGAGCCCTGGTCTGGGAAGATCCCACATGCTGTGGAGCAACTAAGCCTGTGAGCCACAACTACTGAGCCTGAGCTCTAGAGCCCACGAGCCACAACTACTGAGCCTGCGAGCCACGACTACTGAGCCCGTGTGCCACAACTACTGAAGCCCACGTGCCTAGAGCCCGTGATCCAAAACAAGAGAAGCCACCTCAATGAGAAGCCCACGCACTGCATTGAAGAGTAGCCCCCGCTTGCTGCAACTAGAGAAAGTCCGCATGCAACAACGAAGACCCAATGCAGCCAAAAATAAATAAATAAAATAAATACATTAAAAAAAAAAAAAGAAATACTTCAAGAAATTTTTCCAGAAATGAAGAATTTGTGTTAAATTGCTCCTAGTGCCTGCAAATGTACCCACACTGAGGTAAATCACAGTGAAATTTAAGGACATTGAAAACAAAGGAGAATTCCTATAAGCTTTCAATAAGAAAAGGGATTTTAAGCAAAGAATCAAGTATCTAAAGGTTACTGGACTTCTCAGTAACGACACTAAAAAGCAATGGAAAATGCCTTCAAAAACCTGGAGGAAAAATTATTCCAATCTAGAATTTTATATTCAACCAAACTATCAATCAAATTCCACAGTAGAATAAAGGTATTTCAAACAGTGAAGACACCCCAAATATACATATTCTCTCACAAAGTATAATGAGTAAATCATTAGAAGAAATATATGAGTTGTGGAAACAAAGGGACCCAGAGAGACAGAGAGTCAGAGAGACAGAGACAGACAGAGAATTCCTAGGATAATGGTGAAGGAAGATCTCCAGGCAGTGTCGCAGCATCAGCTTTTAAAATTGCAACCTGACCTAATTTAAACAGGTCAAAAAGTTCCAGATGAGATTTATTCAAAGAGACAATACTAGTAATGAGTTAAAATGTATGATTAAGAGATGTATACAATTCCGGACGGTTTGAGGTTGAATTAGCAATAAGTATATTGAAAACCAAGCAAACACACAAAGATATGACAATTATTACCAAACTGTTATGCTAGGAAAGTAGTATCATATATTATTATATGGCTAAACTGGTGAATAGCATTTATATAACCCTTCCGTGTAAACACTGCATATTTATTTAACTAAAATTATGACGCTAACTATATTGATAGGTTGTAGGAGTGAAAAATGGCACGTGTGGTGGGTGGGGCAAGAGGTGAATTCACCCGCTACAGAGGAAAGTCAATAGATAATGCGCAAACTGAAAAATTAAGAAATAGCAACACAAGTATGTTGAATGGCAATATAGAGGCAAATCCCAAGAGATCCAGCTAATTGTGGGGAAAATATTGCCCCTGGGGAGGAGAGAATAGGAGAAGGGGTTGCCTGGGACGGCAGGTTTTTCACAAAAGGCTTTGTAGAGCTGTTTGACTCAAGCCAGGTCCATACGTAACTCTATAAAAATGACAACTACATTTAAAAAGTAAAATTGTGTTAATTTACAACATTCTATCAGCATACTTAAATTCCCATCCAAATATTTTCACATAATTTAAGAGATGTGGCAGTCCAACATCAGTTTACTTTTTTGTATTTTTAATACAACTAACTTGGCTTATGAAATATTAGATAACGTTTTTAAAATTTGGAAAGTCATGGTTTCTGAATGATACTGCAAATATCAAATGCAACATAAATGCTAGTGAATGTGAATGAAGAGCACTTTACCATCTGATCCTGGAGGTCCCGGCAACCCTGGCACTCCAGGCAACCCAGGTGGTCCCTGGTCGCCTGGTTTCCCTGGAGCAGAATCAGCTCTCCCAGGAATACCAGCTGCCCCTGGAAATCCTGGATGACCAGGAAACCCTCGTGGCCCAGGGGGTCCCATCATGCCTCCAAGAGAAATCAAGAATGAAAACCACACATACTCTCAGATAACATTTTTCTGTAGAAGAAATCAAAATCAGTACATTCTTCGTAGGCTGTGGAATTTTTTTAAGGAAAAAAAATGTAGCTAAAAAATAACTGAGTATCCCAGCCATCAGAATGCCTCACCTCCTTTGAAACAAGCACACAAGTAGTAATAAAGGTTTAGGGAATCAGATTTTCTTACCTTTTTGTCTATTCTTTAGGATTATTGGAAAAGAAATATATATTATTTAATTAAAATTAGTTTTAAAAATATCAAAAAACTTTGATAACTTGATAAAAAATAACCTGAATAAACACATTAGCACATATAGTGAATTAAAATATGGACTCACAGAAAGACAAATACTGTATGATATCACTTACATGTGGAATTTTAAAGATACAACAACTAGTGAAAATAACAAAAAAGAAGCACATTCACAGATATAGAGAACAAACAAGTGGTTACTAGTGGGGAGAAGGGGGAGGGGCAAAATAAGGGTAGGAGATTAAGAGGTACAAACTATTACATATGAAATAAGCTATAAGGACCTACTGTAAAACGAGCGGAGTATAGCCAATATTTTATAATAACTATAAACGGAGCATAACCTTTAAAAATTGTGAATCACTATATTGTACATCTGTAACACATAATACTGTACATCAACTAAAGTTCAATAAAAAATTTAAAAAATTAGAAGAAATTAAATAAGATAATACATTAAATCATGTAGATAGGTACCTGGTATATAATTTTAAGCTGTTTGTTTTTATAATTATCATTGACTAGCAGAATTTAATGAGAAAACTGGTGTTGCCATTTAGATACTAAAATGTAATATTTGGATATGATTGAGATATGCTTACATGGAGACAGTCTTCTAATCTTTTACCCCAAAATTAATTAGCACAGCCAAAAAAAAATGGGACTCACAAAATTATCTATGTAGATGTAAAATACTATAACCACTTAGGTTTGTGGAAAAGCAAAGGGGTGCTAGATTTGAACCTGGCCTCTCCCTCTCCAGCCACAGGTACTTAAGTAGGTTATTTAACTTATTTAATCCTCTATAGCTTCCTCAGAGGCTTGTAATGAAGATTAAATAAAATAATCCACATAAGGAGCTTACTGCAATATCTGGCATGTTCTCAGTGAACGACTGGATGCTCAGTGTGTTTAGAGCAGGTCAAAGTAATGCAGCAGCAGCTAAATCCTGCTTCCCCTTGACATGCTACTTCCCCCTCGCTGGTGGCTTTGGCTTAAAGACAGCCGGAAGCCTTGGTGTGAGAGCGATCATTACTCTGAGCTGCTTCTTCCTAAGCATGCCTGGTTCCAGGACCTCTCTGTGGAAGACTGACGTTATCAAAGATGGCGCCAGGGTAGCTCTAGTCCCTCACGCTCTTGTAGAACCTTGATGCTCCCCTAGCAAGAGGTGGAATGTTCCCCGTCCCTTCAATGTACCAGCCTTTTGTGGTTGTTTGGACTAATGAAGTATGGCGGGAGTGACACGATATGGTTTCCAAGGCCAGATTATTAAAGAAGATTCAGCTTCTTCCTTGTGAGCAAAATGCTTGGACTGGAGTCCTGAGGCACCACAGAAGCAATATCACTGCTCGGAAGCCACCATGCTGTAAGGAAGCCTAAATTAAGTACAGAGTCACACAGAGAGACTTGAGACTATATGAGAAATGAAGGAGAGAGATGCCTGGCCATTCCTCATGTTTCAGTTCCAGACACGATGGCTGCAACCAGATGAAAATCCCTGCTCCATAATCGCTCAGCTTAGCCCTTCCTGAATTCTTGAACCACAGAAAGAGTGAAGGGGAATATACTGAACGTTGTTGTCTTAAACCACTAGGTTTTGGGTTATCTGTTCAGCAACAGACAATTGAAACCCTGTCCGTCATCAGTAATGTAGCATGCAAGTTAAGTTGATGGCTTTCGTTATTGGGTGCATACGTGCTGGGGCTTTACGTGTATTATCAAACATTATCTTTACTCCTTCAACAACCTTGAAAAGTTCATACCTTATAGATAAGGCACAGAAAATTTAGGCCAAATATGAATACTAATAATCGTAGCTAACACAGTGAGTCTTTACTATATCCCCAGTTGTATTCTAAGAACTGTATACATATTATTTCTTTCAACTGTAACAAGAACTCCGTTTCGCAGACAGGAAAACTCAGGCACAGAGAAGTTTAATAAATGCCCAAGATCACACAGTTTGTAAGTACTAGAACCTGGAATGATTTTAGTCCATTGTGTAAACACATAACTATTTCACTATACTATACTGATTGGGAAGGTTGGGATTCAATCACAGGGGTCTGACTCCAAAACCCAACTCATCTCATGGTAAGTACTATAGATGACTATAAAATAAAATATGTATAATAAAGGCTACATACAATGGTATGTTTAAAACAAAATGAACATGTACTCCTGTGGACTTGGCTACCATCTTGTCTTCATAACAGTCCTAAGACCTGACTCGGAATCTCCACAATCAGTCACTGGATGGTCCCAGATGCTGCCTGCTATCTCGTCCCAGTACCAGGGAGAATGCTCAACCAGCTTCCAAAAGGCAGAATGGGTTACAGTGTATGGCATATCGCAGCCTCGACCACCAACTGATAGGACATGAAATCAATTCAGTTGTGGCCAGCATTAAAAACTTTTTTTTTTCAAAAGAAAAGAATGGAATAGAAAATAGAGTGTATCAGATACCCCAGAGATATTATTTTGTGAAATCTGTGTTCCAACCGTATGTATGTATGTATGCATATATGTGTGTAATGTAATGTAAATGCTATACAATATAAAATTATTTCTTACTATAGGTTGAAGTCAAAATATGGATTCTTTTAAAAAAGATTTTTGGAATTAAGAAGCTTCCTGTTATACTTGGTTTGGAATCTGCTAGAGACAGGTGTTACTTACTCCCACTGGGTTTTGATTTCAATCTGCTGGAGGTGGTATTTTATTATAAACAAGCCCGAAAGGAGAAATGTAAGAGCGGGGTCTAGTGCCTCCCGACCAACAGAGTATTCTGTATGATTTATATAGTTCTGGGTCAATTAAGCCATGGCTGCGATATCGAAAGAGTAAATGAACTAAACAAAGCTTTATTTACTGCCTTTGTGGTCATCAGATCCTACAAAGTGAAAGCTAGCTTTGTGAAACATTAAACAAGAACTTTGTAGTTCACAGTTGAATATCTCAAGAAACTTCTAACTCCTCAGGAACTGTAACATGAAACAGACCGGATAAAATTACATTTATACCAGACTTTTCTCCCCACACGTTTAATCAGTATTCCTGGGTTCACAGAATGCAAATATTCCCTAAACTTCCATTCTTAATCTCACTGGGAATATTAGCTAAGACAGCACTTGAAGGAGTTCAAAGTCCGTGTGTCAACAGGATTATTTCTCAGGCCTTTCATCAAATACTACCATGAGCCACAGGGGTTTTTTTGTGGGCGAGAGGGCTGTTGTTTTCTGTTTATTTTTTAACTAAGTCCGAATCAAAATTTTATTTTTTAATTTGCAATTTTGTATTTCCACATTTCATGCAGAAGATTTAAGCTGGGGCCTAGGTGGATGAACTAAATTTTAACAAGTAGATGTCCATAGAGAGAGCCTTCCAAGAAAGTGGGAAAGACCTAAAGACACACTCTAACCCTAGCAGCAGTTTCCACATCTTAACTGCATCTGGTAGTCTTGTGGGAAGCTTGTTTTACATACATATTTCTTATCACACCCCTGAGATAGTGATTGAATATTTCTGAGGTGCAGTCCAGGAGCCTGGATTTCTTCCAATTAAATGATTAATTGGTTTGAGCTCTGTGCTTCTTAATCCTGGCTGTGCATTAGAATTAAGCAGGGGTTGGGGGTGGGTGGTGGGTACTTCCCTGGCGATCCAGTGGTTAGGACTCCATGCTTCCAATGCAGGGGGCATGGGTTCGATCCCTGGTCAGGGAAATAAGATCCCACATGCTGCGCAGTGCGGCCAAAAATAAAAAAGTATGGGGACCCTTTTATAATAGTAGATGCCTTGGTCCATCCATCCCTCAGAGAGTCCAACATTCCTGATCTGGGGTACGCACAGCCATCAGTATTTCTGAAACAATGCTAAGGTGATTTTAATATCAGCTAGAGTGGAGAGGCCCTGGTGTGGAAGAGGATGCAGCAAACCTGGCATGTAAAAGCCATACCTGCACAGACTTCGCCTGGTCTACCAGGGGGACCAGGGGGACCAGGTGGTCCAACAGCCCCCGTTTCTCCATAGCGGCCAGGGTGCCCTGGATCCCCTGGAGGCCCTGCCAAAGATAATGGCATAATGTATATAGTAAACATATATATACATTTAAAGGCTCACGCGCAATCACTTTTCGTGAGCCTTGTTAAAGTACAACAGGAGATTGTTTTGCAATTTCTCATCACGTTTAAAGTGCAATATCTTAGACCCTCCGCTGCAGACACATGAAGTAGTGCGGAATTTGTCATCGATCTAGGCTGCTTTCTTCCTGGAGGCAGCATCTTGGCAGGTCTTAGTCAAATGGCTTCACACATTTCTAGCGATTAAAAAACCTACTTTCTGAAAGGTAACATAATAAAAATCCCAGCATGAAGTTCACCCACTAAAATAAAATTTGGTGTCTTATGGCTGATTGAGACAGACCAAGATGCACATCTCTACTTGCACTAATATAATTATACATTCATGTTAAAAGTGCGTATATGCAGCCTGCTGAGTGTGTAAACTACAGAAGGGCTAAGCCAAACCCTTCTTTTGGGACCATGCAAATCCCATTTCAGCATAATCCATAGAGAAAAAAAATGGAACACAAACCTTTGAGTGGAAGAGCTGGAGTTGCCAAAACCCCTGGTGGTCCTGGGTGCCCGCGGTCTCCAGGATCTCCCTGAAATCATTCATTCATTCACTTTTCTTAGAAATATTAATCTTTTTCTCATGTTTCCTGGCACTAAGTAAATATTAGCAACACCAAGTGGGCATTCATATAGGAAACAAAGCCTGTAGGCTGACTAGAGAAATAAATAGCTCATGGTGGTCTAAGAGGAACAAAAGTATGAGATCTCCCACCTACAAGCAGAAGTTAACAGCCAACTGGGAAAGTTCTCCCCCCGCCAAAAAAAAATTCGAACTCCAAAAATGCTTCCATGTGCATCAACTAGATACCTCTGAAGCCATGAAGTTTCTCGGATCTATTATGAGCATTAATGTCTAACTTGCACTCCAGAACAAACAGTTTATTTGCCTACAGGGTCTGAACCTACATTTTATTTTAGCAGCAGATATTGTCCCCCTTAATTGTGTCACTTAATGCCACCATGGCTTGTCCTGCACAAGTGCTGAAGGTGAGGTCACATAAAAAGGAAAGAAAAAATGCAGTGGTGTTCAAAGCAAAGGACTCTCCACGGTTCCCTGTTTTTAATCATGATACTGTATAATCCCTAGGGAATTTTTGAATCTCTCATTATTATTCACCTTCAAAAGGATCACTGCTCAAATGTAAAATGTAATCATTACCACATGCATTAAAATAAAATAAGCAAAATGAACTCAGTTTTGAATGATTCTTTGAAATATTTAAAAAAATAAATCAGATAACCTAAGGGATATAGGATGTTATCAGACTGTACTCAAATAGGCTCACTTTTTTACCTTTGGACCAAGAAATCCAAACGGCCCAGGATCTCCAAACACTCCTGGTTCCCCCTACAAATAACCAAAAACATGCCTTTTTTTATTTTTATTTTTTTAAGCATATATATTTATTTTTATGCACATATTTACCTACAAAATTTATAGGAAATAAAACAATGCATAATATATACAGTGTTGTTTTCATGAGGATCAAACAATGAAGGTAATTGCAGAACATCAGGGATGAAACACGCCTTTTTTAAAAAATGTGATTGGGTGACAAATTATCTCATTCTCATTTAATCTGAATGACCCATGCTCACCGAGATTCTGTACAGCATCTTAACACTGCTTTGGGGTTGCATCCGACAGTATTGCTTTAGTTTTTGTACCCGCAGTGAAATCATGTAACTTATAAAATAAATGTGTTCCCTTTCTCATTACTGTGTGTGAGTCTACAGGCCCTGGTACAACTTTTGAATGACACTGAATTGCATTTACTAATGAATATGTATTTATCCTCTCTATAATCGTGTTCATTTACCTTTAATCCTGGAAAACCTGGAGAGCCATAGAAGCCAGGGTCCCCCTAATAAATTCACAAGAATCAACACAAGCAGAATTAAAACAAAATCCATAAACCAGTTCAGTGAATCATTTTTCACCTTAGGAGATTGCTTCGTTGGTATTTAATCTTGTCTGCAAAGGTAGCTGGATAAAGGAAATAAATATAAAAGAGATTCCGTTTCTTTACAACATTTATTTTAATTGATCTTTAATCTTATTCAAAAAAATGAATGTCCTTGACAGTGCTTTAAATTAAGAACACGGTTGTGTTGTTTTTGCTGTTCTTCCATTTCAATTTATTTAATTTAATGCTTGCACTGGGCTAAATATCTTTGAATCATCGCAATATAATTTGTCTAGAGATTAATAGTTGCTCTATGCATTATCAGCAATGAAAATTACTATGGAAGTCAATATTGTCTCGTTAAGTACTGAATCTGAGTCAGATAAACTCAATGCCCATGCTCGCCAAGGTCTGGCCTTCATAGTGACTCTATGAATGGGGATCCCATTAGTGACATGTGTGGAGATGTTTGAGGCCTGATGCTATATAGTTGTTTTCTAGCTACTGCCCCTAGATCAGTACCTTCTTTTATCAAATAGGCTTAAATGAACAACTCCAAGCTACTATCACACTGACACTGAGCCAGTAAGAAAATGCCACGATCCCATTACTTCCTGCCAATTCTCCCATCTTCTGCTTGTCTGTTTTATCCAAATGATGTCCATGAAAGGGATGCTCTGGGGCACTTAGCTATTACACAATTCTTGCTGACCAAAATATAGCATTCCTCTTAGAGATAATCTCCACTTTTGAACTCTCAGAAATATTGATCTAGTCTTATAAAAATGTGAGAGAGAAATGCCTCCAAACTCACTGAAGTTAAGGATGCCAAAAATGATCCTTACCCGAGGTCCTGGAAACCCAGGAATACCTTTCTCTCCTTTTGTCCCAATACCGGGCTCCCCCTTAAAGAGACGACACTTTTAGAGGAGTTCAAGCAACAGTATTTCAGCAATACGAATGCAAAAACAAAACAAACAAAAACTATTGCCAGCAGCTTAAGAAAACAGCTACTTTGGAAATAGTCTTCCTACAGAATTATGATGAAATATTGAAAAGTTCTAGTAACATATCGGCATTTAAAGCAGTGATAATAACCATGTAAAAATTTTAAATTAAGATAGCACATCATACAATTTTTTAAGTTCTTTAAATAAATTACCTTGGGTCCTGGTGGTCCGGGAGGTCCAATGATTCCAGGCATTCCTTTAATACCCTAAAAATCACAATGAATATAATCTGGCTTACCGGCTCTATTCAACATACTGAGTTCCATCTCTTTAAGAAATTACCTCTTTCAACAGCCATTCTCCTAATATTTTAATAAGGGATTACTCGTCAACTGTCGGTAATTAGCAACTAAGATCCAAGCGCACCTTTGAACCTGACACTCTTCAGGAGGCCAGTTCTGTGTAAAAGGTGTAGCATTGGGCAGCGTGGGACAGCAGAGCGGTGGGGGGAGCCACCATGGACCCAGGGCAGCAGATGCAAGCTGGGAATGCAGCCACTAAGAGGAGAGGCTCATTTTGAGCAAGGTAGTGAAACTGAATCCAGTAACTGAAAACTGATGGGAGAATGTGCACATGGCATCAGTAACATCAGTGCTGGAGGGTGACAAAGGAATTAATATTTGCCAAGAGTCTATTACATGCTCGGTTTTATGCCTCTGTCACCTTTCAATTACCAAAGCATCAGATCCATATGTAACATCTAAAGGACAGCTGGATTTCCAGTGGTATTTTCAGCGACCATATCAAAGACATGAATGGGGGACTATATCCTGGAGGACATGTCACAGTTTAGCAGCCCGTCTGCCACTCAACAGCCGGGTAAACTTGAGAACACTGGTAACCTTTCCAAGTCTCACTTTTTCAACTCTTTATAATGAAACTAATAATAGTACCAACCTGTAAAGGTTACCCTGGGATCAAGGCAGCGTTGCATGTAGGTGCTCAGCTCTTCGCTGGCACGGGAACACGTTCAGGAAACGTTGGGTATGACTACTTTACCAAGGTCACATATGGATTGAGAATTACCTTTGCTCCTTTATAGAGACCAGAATCAGGTGGCTGCACCAGAAGGGTGGGTCCTGGAGAACCCTGCTGGCCAACCTCACCCTTTTAAAAAAATCAAGATAATAAGAATTTCATATTAACTTTAGTTTGAAATAAAAATGGAAACGAAGAAGACTTTCACCCACATATTGTGGTATAATGCTTACAAGCCTGTATGTCATGGATTTAAAATAAAAATCATGGCAAATACATCATGTAACTTTAAATGTTTATTGTTTTTCATAAATAATACATACTGTTAAAAATGAATTTAAAAAATAAAAGTAATCCATAATCCTACCATCCAGAGGTAATCTCTATTAAAACTTTGGTGCAGTTCTTTGTGGTGTGTGTGTGCTTGTATGTATGTGTGGGTCTATAACTGTGTATACACACATGTATACATAGACATATGTCTACATATACACATATGTGCATAATATGCATGTGTGCATACATGTATATGTGACTAAATGGTGTGTTAAACATAATTTGAAACTCTAATAGAAGACTCTTATTCAAAAAGACACATACACCCTAATGTTCATTGCAGCACTATTTACAATAGCCAGGTCACAGAAGCAACCTAAAGGCCCATCAACAGATGAATGGATAAAGAAGATGTGGTACATATACACAATGGAATATTACTCAGCCATAAAAAAGGAATTATATTGGGTCATTTGTAGAGACATGGATGGACCTAGAGACTGTCATACAGAGTGAAGTAAGTCAGAAAGAGAAAAACAAATACCATACATTAACGTATATATGTGGAATCTAGAAAGATGAAGCTGTTTGCAAGGCAGAAATAGAGACACAGATGTGGAGAACAAATGTATGGACACCAAGGGGGGAAAAGGGGGGTGGGATGAATTGGGAGTTTGGAATTGACATATATAAACTAATATGTATAAAATAGATAACTAATGAGAACCTGCTACATAGCACGGGGAATTCTACTCAATGCTCTGCGGTGACCTAAATGGGAAGGAAATCCAAAAATGAGGTAATATATGTATACCTATAGCTGATTCACTTTGCTGTACAGCAGAAACTAACACACCATTGTAAAGCAACTATACCCCAATAAAAAATATATATATTATAATAAAAGTAACACTGTAGAATAATAAACATATTTTAAATGTAGAATATAGTTTATATTGTATTAAAATTTAAAACCATTTAATATATTTTACAACACTATTTTTCACACATTTTCCTGTCACATTGGGTGGGCCAAAAGGCTCGTTCGTTTTTTTCCGTAAGATGGCTCTAGTAGCACTTAGCTGTCTTTAACTTCATTCGGAACAATTTTGTTAGACCATATGTGACAGGTGTCACATCAGCGTGCATTTAAAAAAAGACATCAAAATTGGTGAATTTTTGTGTAGCCATTTTAATACTGGAGATGGAAGAAAAAAAGCAACATTTTCGGCATATTATGCTTTAAAAGGTAAAAACGCAACTGAAACACACAAAAAGATTCGTGCAGTATATGGAGAAGGTGCTGTGACTGATCGAACATGTCAAAAGTGGTTTGCAAAGTTTCGTGCTGGAGATTTCTCACTGGATGATGCTCCATGGTCGGGTAGACCAACTGAGGTTGATACGGTCAAATTGAAACAATAATTGAGAACAATCAACGTTATAACGCAGGAGATGGCCGACATACTCAAAATATCCACATCAAGCACGGAAAATCATTTGCACCAGCCTTGGTTATGTGAATCGCGTTGATGTTTGGGTTCCACGTAAGCGAAAAAAACCTTCCTGACCATATTTCCACATGCTATTCTCTACTGAAACGTAATGAAATAGTTCTGTTTTTAAAACAAATTGTGACGGGCAATGAAAAGTGGATACTGTACAACAATGTGGAATGGAAGAGCTCGTGGGGCAAGCGAAATGAACCACCACCAACCACACCAAAGGACGGTCTTCAGCCAAAGAAGGTGATGTTGTGTATATGGTGGGATTGGGAGGGAGTCCGCTATTATGAGCTCCTTCCGGAAAACCAAACAGTTAATTCCAACAAGTACTGCTCCCAATTAGACCAACTGAAAGTGGCACTCGACAAAAAGTGTCCAGAATTAGTCAACAGAAAACGCATAATCTTCCATCAGGATAATGCAAGACCGCATGTTTCTTTGATGACCAGGCAAAAACTGTTACAGCTTGGCTGGGAAGTTCTGATTCACCCATTGTATTCACCAGGCATTGCACCTTTGGATTTCCATTTATTTCAGTCTTTACAAAATTCTCTTACTGGAAAAAATTTCAATTCCCTGGAAGAATGTAAAAGGCACCTGGAACAGTTCTTTGCTCAAAGAGATAAAATGTTTTGAGAAGATGGAATGATTAAGTTGCCTGAAAAATGGCAGAAGGTAGTGGTACAAAAGGGTGAATACGTTGTTCAATAAAGTTCTTGGTGAAAATGAAAAATGTGTCTTTTATTTTTACTTAAAACCGAAGGCACTTTTTGGCCAACCCAATAAGTACTAGAACCTGGAATTTCCCCACATCATGACGTCTTCCAGTATATTTTTGGCAAGCGTGTTAAATGGCTGTACCATAAATTTCCCAACCACACTGGAACTCCATGAGAGCGGAGATCAGGTCTGTCTCGCCAAATCCCCACACCAAGCACCAATACTAGCCTGGCACAGGGTAGATGCTCAATATCTATTTACCCACAGTTGTTGAAAGAGCCCCTCACCGACTCTTAAGCATTCAGATTGTTTCCAGATGAGCTTCCACCTTAAGGCACTTTTCTAAAGTTTATCCTTACCTAGTTTTGTGTTTCAGCAGAAAGGACTATGGGTGTGAGGGGTGGACGGTGTGTTGCTCAATGCTTCGGGTCACAGTTATTCATATTTTTATTTATGTGTGAAGTTTAGGACTCTGATGAAATTTGGCAAGTTAAGCTAAACAAATCCATAATTAAACAAATTGTTACCCCGGATATATTATCAGAAATATTCCATGTCTTTGGGCTAGGGGGAAGTGTGTTATATAAATTAAATTGAATTTACTGTTAGGTTTTGTCAGAACTGTCATTTTATAGTCAAGGGTAATGGTGTCATAATAATTCAGCAAAGACAAATTCTCAGCCATAAAGCTGTACAGTGACGAGAGAACGAACACAAGTTAAGTGGTAATCAGAACCGTCTCCTTGACCCGGGTAGCCCATACATTTTAACATGTGCTCCTCCACGCAAAAGGGAGTTCTTACCGGGTCTCCCATTTGCCCCTTTACTCCCACGCCAGGATTACCCTGGAAAAGAAAAGAAAAAGGAAACTAATTGCTTTGGAATATTAAAAAGTAATTACAAGTAATAAGACTTCTGGTTAAGCAATTTGTTGAAGTGTATTTATTAAATAGTTCGGGAATTCTAAAAAGAGGGAAGACATGATTCTGACAAATATTAGTGTCACTTATCTCATTGTACATGGACTTCGTTTGTGTATCTTACTCATGGCCACCTACCTTCAAACCTGGACTCCCAGGAGGGCCTGGAGGTCCCTGAATCAACAGCAAAAACACACAAATCAGTTATCAGTGATGGAGACCAGACTGTGCCCTTATTGGTTGTCCCAAGCTCCTCTTTAGGAAACGCTTAATTTTGAAACACACATGATGGACTTCCTACCATGGCTGGGCTGCTTGCCCCCCACCTCCACCCCCCTCCTGCCCCCCACCCCCCTCCTGCCCCCCACCTCCAGGGACCCGTGCTTCAGGAGGGACTCATGCTCATAGTGGTGGGTGTTGGATGATTCATCAGGTGATAATCTCAAAAAGAACCCATCTCTGCCTGAATTGCCCAAGACTGCAATTCTGCTTTCTTTTGCTTGATTTAAATATCAAGTCAGGGCTTTTGGAGAGACAGAATCAACAGTGCTGTACTTACTGCCAACCCCGGCTCTCCTGGATATCCCACTGGGCCTGCTGGTCCTCTCACTCCCCTTGAGCCCTAAACATGAGAAAAATCAGTAAATTCTTTACCAGAAACCATAATCATCGTTCACGGGAGAGCTGCATGTAATCCCAGTTGGATAAAGACCTCCGGAGAAATCACAGTCCCGGCCACACCTGCCCTGCTGCGTCATCTTGAACAGTAGCTCTGATAGAGCTGGGAAAAGGGCACAGAGCTGGCAGGCAGTAGCACTTGTTGGGTGTGACTAACTCCTACGTTTGGGATTAAGACCCAGAGATCAATCTACTTATTCACAAATAAATCTTGTAGTAGCAAAAGTAGAGAACAAAGAAACCTTGTTACTCCTAAATTCCATATATGTTATAAATTTAATATACATCAAAATGCTTTTACAATATTAATATTACTTAGCATTAAATAAATTATTAATGTAGTTATACTCTAATATATCCTTTCAACATGCCCTGTAAGATCAGTGTGAATAGAAATGTCCCCAATTCAAGATCAAGGTAATTAAGCCATAAACAATTTCCTGCAACAAGTTAAGTTACAGCAGAATAACACACAAATTCACAAGGAAAGGTTATAGTTGGGCAGTTCTAGAAGTATGGAGAAAGGGGCTCTGTTCTCCCACTCACCCTGCCCATGTCAAATGATTTGAGAGTGTGCAATGGCATTACTCTCTCCTAGAGAATGAATTGGTATTTATTTTAACAGTGACACCAAGGTATCTCACTGATAACGTAGAACTGAGCTGCCGGAGTAGTAAGAAAAAAACAACCTGAGAAAGTAATCCTGTCAACAGCCAGAAGTTACCAAACACAATTATAGGTGAACCATTAGGAGGCCAAATTGCTTTCAGTTTTAATCTTGTGAATATTGATGAATTGCAAAGACAAATATAATCATTGAATCACAAATTCCAGGAACGTGAAGATAGGGCAAAATACTAAACATAATACACAATTACTGATTCAGCAAGCAAAATCATTTTCACTGGACATATATTATTTAGGTAGTTTCTAAGCGGAATTATCTTCCTAAATATTAAGCGACTATAGCTATCCAAGCAATACCAAATGATCACTGCAAGATAGAAGTGAAAGGTAAGCCGGAGCTTACTGAGATTCAAGGGCGGCTCTGTGGGCCCGGGACCTGTGCAGTCACACAGGGCCTCATGCTTGATTTAATGCTCTGCTGTCACCATCTTAAAATTTGTAATAATTTTTGAACAAGAGACCTACATTTTCATTTTGCACCAGGTGGGCCCTGCAAATTAGGTAGCTGGTCCTGCTGAGATGCAAACTAGTGGAGACCATAGGCTATCTGAGGAGCAAACAGAAGCGCATGGCCTGCCCAGAAGACTTACTGGTAAGCCGGGAGGTCCTGGGTCCCCTCTGTCACCCTGCAATAGTATCAGGACATTGCATTAGAAGAGCAACACCATTTCCCTAAAACACACAACATAAAAGTAAACACACACACACAGGACTTATTTGGACTGTCTGTGCAGTTTGTTCAGTTTTTCAGTGTTGAAAAGACAGCTGTGGAAGGGCTCTATGGAGGTGCTTTTCTGTCTCCATTCTTAAGCCCTGAATTCTACTTCTACCCAGCTGAAACCAGGGAAAGACTGCTGGAGTCGTGAGGACATGGAATCAAGATGAGATTTCATCTTTCAGTTTAAAATGTTCTAAAGAAAAAAACAAAGCTCTAAATTCTCGATCCAGTGGTCCCATTTCATCAGTTTAACTGTCTGTCATCTGATTGGCAGACCTTTCCTCCCTTAATTAACACCTATTATCACCCAGGAGCAAATGTAAAGGGAATTCGTGTGGAAACCCTCTCTGCCGCTGTGCACACCTACCGCTTTGTGACTCGACTCTGCCCCGAGACTCTACTCACTTGAAAGGATCAAGGGGTGTATATTCTCTTGAATACAGACTCTTCCTTTTTTTTCCAAAATGTAAAATATACCGCAAAATATACGTATGATAAAATTTAACATTTTAACCTTTTTTAAGTGTACGGTTCTGTGGCATTAAATACATTCACCATGTTGTGCAACCATGTTGTGCTTCCATTGTCCAAGCTTTTCCATTTCCTCATGGAAACCCTGTATCCATTAAACACTAGCCCTCCATCCCCCCTTCCCCAGCCCCTGGCAAGCACCATCTACTTTCTGTCTCTATGAATTTGACTACTCTAGGGACCTCATCTAAGTGGAATCACACATTTTTCTGTCCTTTTGTGACCAGCTTATTACACTCAGCATAATGACCTCAGGGTTCAACCATGTTGTAGCATGCTTTAGAATTCCCTGACTTTTTAAGGCTGAATAATATTGTGTTGTACGTGTGTATGTACTACTCTCTGTTCACCCATTCATCAGTAGGTAGACACTTGGGTTGCTTCCACCTTTTGGCTATTGTGAATAGGCTGCTATGAATATGGGTGTACAAATATCTGTTTGAGTTCCTGCCTTCATTTTTGGGAGAACATATCTAGAAGTAGAATAGCTGGGTCATAGGGTAATTCCACATTTAAGTTTTTGAGCAATCACCCTACCATCTTCCACAGCAGCTACACCATTTTACATTCCCACCAGCAATGCACAAGGGTCCCGACTCTTCCACATAATTATTAACACATTATTTTGTTTTTCTTTTTCTTTTTTTAATAATCATCCAAATGGGTAGGAAGTGGATATAGGCTCTTAATAAGACCATTGTTTCTCCAAGGTTATCGATCTGCATGCCACTTTCATTAGGGATGCTCTGTTTCTCTTTAAGATGAGGAAGTCTCTATATTCATCTCCCTTTCTGTCTCGCTTGTTGTTTCTTGCACAATTACCAAAAACTACTCACCATAACTAATATTGTACTATACATTATACTTGACAATACATGGCAGTATAAACTATTATAACAGACCATCAGCACTGAGAGGAAGGCAGCGTAGATATTAATTTCCTTTCACAACTAAGGAAAATGAGGGTCTTCTCTGGTGGCGCAGTGGTTGAGAGTCCGCCTGCCGATGCAGGGGACACGGGTTCGCGCCCCGATACGGGAAGATCCCACGTGTCGCAGAGCGGCTGGGCCCGTGAGCCATGGCCGCTGAGCCTGTGCGTCCGGAGTCTGTGCTCCGCAACGGGAGAGGCCACAACAGTGAGAGGCCCGCGTACCGCAAAAAAAAATTAATAATAATAAATAATAAAAAAACTAAGGAAAATGAGGCTCAGAGAGGTTGAGGGGGTTGCTTAAAGTCACAGTAGTAGGTAAGGGTCAGTTCACTCCTTCCAACACATCATACTGGTTCCTAGAATGACCCTGTTTTTGATGCTAAGTTTATGAATGTATCATTTAAGCTATAAATAGAAGCACAGTGCTTGCTGTCTAACAAGTAAGAATAGGCACAGAGGCTATAAACACACATTGTAAGCTCACTTAAGGGATCACCGCTCAGGTGTGGCCACTCCAGGTGGCACAGAACTTGGAATCTGATAGAGGCAATCTAGGACTACTTTTATCTAATTATTGTACAATATCTTTCCTTAAGAGAAATGACCATGTCTTGAAAATGTACTGTATCTCTCCTCTTGAGTCTATCGTATCTAGTGATCTCCTTCTGCTCATCCATGGCTACTCAGATTAGAGAGATGCGGTGGTCATTCAAGAGTTTATTTCTGAATATTTGTACATCATTCTCTGTGAAAAACACAAAAGCATTTCATTTGCTAAGGATAGTGCTATCAGGTTTCTACAATTTTCAAGTTCAGTAGTGGTGACTTCTATCATCATGAATGGTAAATATTAATATCACAATATTTTAACTACAAAGTAATTAATGATTCTCAGCTGGAAGTAATTTTTCCCCCAGGAGACATCTGGTAATGTCTGGAGATATTGTTTGGGTGTGGGGGGTGGGGGTCAGGGGGGTGTTACTGGCATCTAATGGGTAGACACCAGGGAAACTGTTCAACATCCTACAATACACAGGTCAGCCTCCACGACAAATGATTCACTGGCCCAAAATGTCAACAGTGCCGAGGCTGAGAAACTCTGAAATAAATGTATTCATTGCAACTCTGCGAGAATCATGGGGAGGGAGGGGAATTTTGCAGCCAGAGAAGCTAAAGCCAAGCGCCTTCACACAAGAAGTATGGGTCATCCCAGAGGGTCAGGGTAATGATCAAAACCAGTATCCTCAGAGCCATTTTAAAGGAAATCTCAGTCCATGTGTTTTCTGCATGGGTTTACTTATATAGAAAAAAATTCTTTTAAACCCATCCTGATTGTAAAGCTTACCTGAATACCTTTAATGACATCTAAAATGAACACTGAATTTCCTTTTTCTCCTTTTTTCCCAAGAAGGCCCTGAAAATAAAATAGTCACTTTAAGAGAGGAAAAGAGCATATTACTATTTCTGTATTTTCTTTTGCAAATGAAATATTACTCACCAATAAAATTACCATTATAATCATATTTCACTATTCACTATAGTGAATATTCACTATATTTCACTATTCACTATATGAAATATTTCATATTTCACAGTGGAGATTTCTTTATTCTCATTTTTATTATCATCCTAAGGTTGTCATATATACTTATTTAATATTTGGTTAAGATCTACTGAGGAATCTCCTAAGACAGAATATCTACTAATATATTATATTATATTACGTGGCCGTGAGCCACGGCCACTGAGCCTGCGCGTCCGGAGCCTGTGCTCCGCAACGGGAGAGGCCACAACAGTGAGAGGCCCGCGTACCACAAAAAAAAAAAAAAAAAAAAATTCCTCTCGTCTTGAAATACCTAGAGGGGTTTATGTATCTGCAGTGAACCCTGAATGATAAACAACCTAAGCTTTGCTAAGTGGCCTCCCTTCCCCTATCATCCATTCTCTGTATGGCAGCCAGGAGCATCATGATAGAACATCAGTCGGATCATATTTCTTCCTTCCTTAAAACCATCCAGTGCGTTCCCATGGCATGGAAAAGAAAACCCAGCTTCCTTCCATAGTCTACAAGGCCCCGTGTCTTCTACGTCCTGCCCAACTCTCTGTCCTCATCCTCCAGTCACCCGCATTTGCTCACCAGGCTCCCAGTACACTTGCAATAACTCTGTTTCTCGAACACATCCAGCCTGCTCCCACTGGAGGGCCTTTTCACTTAAGATTCCCACTAGGCTGAATTGTGGCTGTCTTACTGGGGAGCCTTGTGGGCCAGGAGCTCCTCTTTCTCCTGGAAAGCCTGGAGCACCTCTTGAGCCATTGTAGCCATCTATGCCAGATTTGCCTCTGGATCCAGGAGGCCCTGGGTGCCCCTACAAGAAACAAAATGATAGGTGAAGCATTTTTGCAAGAATACCATAACAAAAAGGTTCTGTGATATGGGTCCCCAAATTATGGCAACTGTGACTCACATGTCGTTCAGTTTTGTGAAACTTCCTTCCCCACCCACAAGAACTATGTAGCATAGTAAAAATAAATAAATCTATTTTCATATACCCCAATTTAAATTAATTTAGTCTGGAGTATTTTCAGAGATCAGGGAGGAAATCTTCCTTGAAATCCTTAGAAAGACTCTAATGAATTATAAACCCTGCCAAATACCTTTTCCTTCTTTCCTCTGGTTTTCGTATAAGCAATGAGAGGTTTGAGCCCACTCCCACCATTAGGACTCACCAGCAAAGAAAAACTTTTGTAATGAGTATAAATTTATTTCCAGAACATTGTACTTGACCTGACAAGTATACGAGCTCATATCTTGGAATGCTTTTCTCCAATCTTTTTGAAAACCTTGTTCTTCAAGTAAAATGTTCTGGTCTCAGAGTTATTACACAAAATTGAAATGCAAGCACCCTTCCATTTACTAAAATAAGAAAATAAAGAAGAGTTTGCCATACATATTATATATAATATATATCATATAAATATATTTTATATATATACAAAACATGTGATTTTAAGGGCTTTGATGAGTGTCCCTCCCTTCTTTAAAATAAATGGAGAAAATTTAAGAATACTTACAGGTATCCCATCCAAACCTGGGAATCCAGGAACACCGGTTGGACCCTAAAATCCCAGAAAATAAAACGAAGATATAAAAGCTACTAAATTATTAGATGAACAGGTTAATTTACTTAAAAACATTAATAATTAATAACTTGTTTTAAAAACAAAACCTTATCAGTCATTGTCATCTATTTTTACATTAAGGAGCTCAAATGCCAACATTTGGAAATCAACCATTTGTGCTTTTCTTTTTGTACTTAGGAAGCCAACATGGCAATATTAGTTCAAAGAATACATTCAATACCCTATAACTGGAAATTCAACTTCTCAGACTCTATTTATCCTAGAGAAACAACTCTTAAATGTAAACACAGGTAATTTACAGGACTGTTTTTGCACACTTGCACTACACAAAGTCGGACTAGGATCTCAAATTCTCATCAACAGGGAATAAACTATAGTTTTATCCATATTATGGCATATCATAGAGTAAAGGAGTAAATTCAATCTACATAAATTGATATGAAATGATCTCCAAGCCATATGGTTGAGTAAAAAAGAAGGCTCTGCATGATACATATAGTATCAGTTAGGTTGTTTTAAAAAGCCATAAAGAAAACCACTCCTTACTGGGTGAACTCATGTATTTAAGTGCTTAGAAAAGGTCCAGAAAGGCATGCTCCTCTGGAAAGGGGTTAGGAATGAGGACTGAATATCGAAGAGGAGTTTAGACTTGATTTTTCTAAGGTTCCAGTAGGTACTACTTGCGATTATTAAAAAATCTGGCATAGCAATTCTGGTGAGGGTTTAATATGAATCTTTCACTTAAGAAGAGGCTTACCTTATCACCCTTGTCACCTGCTGCTCCAGGAAGGCCACTGTCACCTCTCATCCCTTTCTCTCCTGGAATTCCAATGGGTCCTGGTGGCCCCAGGGGTCCAATAGGACCCTGTGGCCCTGGTGGTCCTGGTTGACCCTAAGAAGCAAGATTAAAAAGGCAGGGGGATGGATGACTCTTAAGTAATATTTTCTAACCAAAGAATACAGTGACTTGGGTTTACAGAAGACTGGAAAATTAAAGATGGAGCAAAATGTAATAATAGAAGCACGAACGATCAACTAATTATAAAAAAAGAAAATGTTGCCTTTTTCCATCTGAATCAAAGCTGTACGATAAATTTGAATTACTGCATGTACACACACATCTATAAACTGATTATAGTTCTCTTACTATTTTCCTTCTGTCATTGAAATTTATAAATCTTGAGCTGTTTAGTGCAGTAAGGAATTTTTAAAAATCAAAGTCTCATTAGCATTATGTAAGTGACACAAGGTAAGAGTGAGGAAAAAGTGCCAGATATTTTATTTACTTCAAATGGCTCATAATTTGTCTGCCTTTTAGGGGGACACATTTCTTTCTTAGCTGCTTTTATCTAATTTCTTATCCATAGTTTGGAATCAGGCTCTCCGTGTCACATTATTTTTACGCAATCCAACTTTCTTTCCATGAATGAAAACATCACCTTTTATTTTAGGCAAAGAAGTTTCAGGAACTCAGTTCTCCCCCTAAACCCACAGTGGGAACATCTCTGGGACAAAGATGAGGAACTCCTTGCTCCCTTTAAGCCTGTTCCCCGTTGCATTTAGATGCACTGTTGCAGTGAATGAATGTTCAGTTACGACAGGGAGCCTCACAGCTCTTTCTAGGAGTAGGAAGGTTGGTATGTCTCAGCATCAGTTTCTCTAACTTCCGGATGATCGTATCTAGCTGCCTCTTTGACATCTCCTTGAATACAATGGTACCCTCACCTTAAAAAAATCCAAAATGCAACTTTTGATTTTACCCCCAAATTTGATTCTCCATCCACTGTCTCTATCTACCCAGAATCCAGCCCCAGAATCCTGGGATTCATCCTGGATATTCCTCTTTCTGCCACACCTACATTTAACCCATGATCGATTCCTAGCATTTCACTCCCGAAATGGGTCTGAAACTCACGCACCTCACTGTCTGCCTTGCTGTGACCCTGCAGGTCAGCATCAGTGGGACCGGCGTTCCAGGCTCCCAAATGGCTTTCCAGCTTCCTCTAACCCTCCTCCCTGCCTCTCTTCAAGTGACATTAAAACAGAAATCAGAGGGACTTCCCTGGTGGTACAGTGGTTAAGAGTCTGCCTGCCAACGCAGGGGACACGGGTTCGTGCCCCGGTCCGGGAAGATCCCACATGCCACGGAGCAACTGGGCCCGTGAGCCACAACTACTGAGCCCGCATGCCTGGAGCTGGTGCTCTACAACAGGAGAGGCCACCGCAACGAGAAGTCCACGCACAGCAACGCAACTAGAGAAAGCCCGTGCACAGCAGCTAAGACCCAATGCAGCCATAAATAAATAAATTTATTAAAAAGACAAAGAAAACAGAAATCATCATGGCATGGCTCTGCTTTTTAAACTTTCATTGTCTTCCCACTACATGTAGAATAAACCTCGTGCTCCTCCCTTCCAGGCCTTACAGGGTGTGGCCCCAGATTCCCTTGCACCCCATGCCGTGCCCACCCCACACTCACTAAGTCCCAGCCACGCTGCTCTTTTCTGTCTTTGGGCCTCGGTGCGAGCATTCTCTCTGGATGGCTCTTTCTCTAGATCTGCACATAACGTGGATCTCTCCTAAACTGCCACCAGTGAATTAGGATCTCCAATCCAACCTCACCCCCATTAGTCTCCCTCAGGGTATCCTGTCCACTTCCTTCTTAGGATCTTAGCATTTCACAGTTTTTAAATTATGTATTTGCCCATTAGTTTGTTGTCTGCTCTCCGACTAGACACTAGCACCATAAGGGCAGGGATATCTGCTCACCAGTTAAGTCTTCCATCTACCACCTACCGTGGCCTTTGGCTCAGGAATGAATGAATGAATGAGGGATAGATGTGGCAGTGACTATGCTCACAGGCTTAGTGGTCCAGCCTGACCACCCATCCGCTCCAGACACACTCTACGAGGGCCCTGTATGATCAGGAAAGTGATTTTTGAATGCTGCAAAAAGCTATTCTATCAAATGTAATCTTTATGACATACAGATTGATTTTACACATTCAAACTTGTTTACTTTTTATGAAATAATCAACTCATGGGAACAATGAGGCTCTTCAAATGAATTTAAGAATCTAAAATCAGGGTTTCTAAATGATACTTCTAGCCTCAGCATTCAGTCTCTGTCTATCTAAAATCAGGGTTTCTAAATGATACTTCTAGCCTCAGCATTCAATCTCTGTCTATAATTTGATGTGAGCAGAAAGTATCTCAGATTCATATGTTTTTTTAAATAACTCGCTTTTGCATTCTTAAGATAATACTCTTAGATTAAATAAAGAGAAGTTTTATAATGAGACGTTTATAACAAGGCTTTCGCCGATGCAGGGTGATCTGGTCACATGACACCATGCCCTGTGGTGGCTAATGTGTCCAGCTGTGTTGTCTAACACAGGTCAAAATCCATGCTTTATTTCACTACAGTTTGAAAACACTCTGTATTCATCTGAAGACAGGCTGTCACCTGCAATTATTTTATGCTTTTTAAAATTTTTCCAAAGATTTAAGAAAAAATCATTTAATATCCCCTTTCCCGACCCAAACAACACGGATAACTGCATTCAGAGAGCAAGTAAGTCTTGATATGTGGAGAGAAAAGCTGAGTGGATTTCAAGAGATATCTGTTTAGAACTTTTAAACCTCTGGGCAATTTCAACCTTAGTGCTCAACTCTAACCATGCACGGGACCCTGTATAAGAATGTAGGGCTATCCTTTGGGTGTATGGGGCCCAGGGAAAAATATGTTTTGGAGAGTCCCACCTACATAAAAATTTGAGTCACCTGAAATCAGTGTATCAGTGTCATTCTGGTGACCCAATCTCAGGAATTCCATGAACGAAGAACAAAATCCCACAAGCGGGCAAGGGAGGCTGTCCTATCAGGCGGCCACCCTCTGGATACCAGGGCCCGGCCATGGGGCCCCAGCCCAGCCCAAGAGCATGAACCCCAGAGCTCCTCATGCAGTCAACTCCCACTGGATAAAGGGTCAGAGAGCATCCTGTTGAAACTACTTTTAAGCCCAAGATGACGCCGCTGCTGCCTGGGTGCCACTTCAGCAAACTTATGTAACTTCCATGCCCCTGTAAACGCTCCTCATAAACAGAAATGGAATCCATCCAGGCAGCTAATTGCCAGACGCCAAGCCAACTTCGGGCTCTATGCGTACTTCCTTGTTCCTTATTCATTTCTATTTTTCTCTTCCTTGTTCCTTATTCTTTATCCTATAAAGGCTTCTTGATTTCTCCCCATTTTGCAGTTCTCCGGAACCTCGGGAACAGAGGCTGCCCACTTCATGAGGTGTTAAATAAGATTTGTTTGTACCACCTAAACTGTCTTGAGTTTTAACAACCTTAAAGGGAAGAAACAGATGCTGGGACCCATCGGTCCTGGTCCCCAGTGAGGCCCTGCCTGAGGCGGGGCCTGGGGTCAGGAGCCCTGCTTGTCCTGGTCTAAGGACAATAATGCAAGAATATTCCCCACATCATCTTTGGTAATAACAAGAAAAACTGGAAATCCCATAAAAATCCCAAATGAAACTGACTGAATAAATTATGGTATCTTCATACAATGAAATACCGCACAGGCTGTCTTAGTCTGGGTGCCCCAGAAGCAAATTAGGACACGGCATCAATGCAAACGGTTTAATTGAGAATAAAGGAGACATGGTGAGAAGGAGACGGGATGAAGGAGCAGGGATGTGACACAGAGAAGGAAAGGCAGCCCATAAGGCTGTGCTATCAAGCCAGTTACCACCGTGGGTTACTGGAGCTTAACCCAGAGCGGAAACTCTGGGTGTCAAGGTAGAATACACACCTCAGAGTTATCCGGCCCGGGGTAAGGGAGTTAGGGTGTTTACCTCACTGGTGGAGGGCCACTGACGGTGGGTGGGAAGTGTCTGCTCCTGGGGCTTTGAGAAAGCCCACAGACAAAGAGATGAAGAGACTGGCAGCTGGAGACCCCCCCTTAACTCCCCCCGAAAACAGGAGCACTGAAGTAATAGGCCTCAGGGAAATGCACAGGGCCCAGACACTGAAGGATGAAGCAGGTCTCTCTGGATGGATATAGAACAGCCTTGTGATACTCATGAAGAAGAAACAGAGTGACTGAGCTCCAGGTTCTGCAGTCAGTGCCTGTGTGTGAAGCCCAGGCCCACACTTACTAGCTGTGGGACCTTGGGCACGTTTCTTAACCCCTCTGTTCCTCAGCTTCTTTATCTGTCAGTGGCTTGTGGACATAAAAAGAACAATGCATGTAAGGTGTTTAGCATAGTGCCTGCACAGTAATGCTAGCTATCGTTATTATACATGATTGTTATTATAAATAGTTCATTGTTAAGTGGGAAAAAAAAGCCGTGTATCATATGATCCCACCAATAGAGAAACAAATGGACATACATTTTCTTAACATATGTTTGTAAACGAACATTTCTAGACGGATATACAAGAAATGGCACGTTACCACATCTCAAGAGTGAGAAATGCAAACCAGGGCAATGATAAAGTCTGTTTTGTGAGCATCTTATCAACAGCAAATGTGACTTTTATAATAAAGATTAATTACGATTTCTTTCATCATTAAGTCATTGACCTTGCTAACATTACCGACAAACTTTAACATCTGCCTAAATTTTATAAATCAAAATCATACTTTATTTGTACTTTCCCTTCTCCTCATGCTTCTTCATCATCATTATAATAGCTACTATTTCTTGAGTATCCATAAAAATACTAAAAGCTCAGCATTTTCAAGGAAGCTTAAATGTATAAATATGTGTTACAGAAAAGACAACAATAATATATAAAGTCAATTCTATGGGCACAAACCATCTGGGGGCACTCTGAGGGCATCTTACTTTTCTCTAGGTATTATACAATTTTTAAACTACAATCT